AGTCGATGGTTTCATGAAGAACTCGAAGATTTCTATTGAATGGATACATAGGATGAATGTTCTAAGGACTAATGACAGACGTACTTGCTTCGCATCCATATCTTTTATGCCTTGCGAAATATATATATGAATAGAAAATTAGTAGTGAATGATAGGGTGTGAGTGTGTACCATTCCTTTGAACTCATCCCAACACTCACACCCACACCCCAAAAGATATTTCTGACTCCTATAATATTTTCAATATATAAACTTTTAAATCTACTCATTTTCTATCAAAATGAAAAATTACTTTCACAATATTGAATTGGTTCTGTCAAGTACACGGATTGCAAAGCGTTTGGAATATATGTTGATGGTATGAATTATGGAATAATCGATGTTCGTTCAATATTCTACTCTCTGCTTTTTAGTTGCAGCAATGCTAGATCATTCAGCAAGTTTTTATATGACTCTTGTCAAATTATTTTGAAACATTTGTATATAAATCAGTTTTACTTTTAACCATGATCACTAAGCAAATATTCGAATCTTATGGATTTTATTCATTTCTTCATGATTTATTGATCGATGTTCGTTGCTACAAAACATTAAAGTAACAAACACACTCTATGCCTGTTTGTTTTTAATTAAATAAAGAGCTTTTCGTCTGAGTCTTTGTTGAAATAAAATGAATATTTTGAATCTAATCTTGAGAAATTTGATGACAAGAACCGTGTTGAATACACAATTAATAATTCCTCTAACTTTCAATTATTTATCAATCAATCGAATAATCCGTGAGCTACTATCTTAAATTTTCCTATTAGTTCAATGTCTACTATGCTCTCTTATTCAAACGAAACTGAGTGTGGATGTATTTCTGGCCTTTATTCATACCTACACCCACATCCGATATGAGACTATATCTACCAGTATTCACTCATATTATACACGTTTTAAATTTCAAAAAGGGCACCCAATAAAATACAAAGTAATATTAAACAAAACTTAAGTAAAAAAAATTTTCCCCTAATTTATTGAAAAGCATTCTAAGTAAACAAAACATTTCTGTTAAGTTTTAATTCCACAAAAATCAAACTAATAATATTTAATATTATGTAATTGAATTTTATTTACTATATACCTTTTTATATTCTAAAAGATTTTTCATGTAAAATACAAGACAAATGAATAAGTACTATGTACAGATCAGAAAATAATAATTGTTAACTAGTTTTTCATCATTTGTAAACATAAAATTTTACAAGAAAAGTTTATTCTAATTACTACTCAATGTAACAATATGAAATAATTTTATTCAAATGAAAATGAAATCAGTAAAAATTCATTTTCTCGAAGAGAACACAGTATAAAACTTTCTGTAACTGATCTTACACGTTTTTTTTAACACTGATCATTACTACTCATAACATAATTTTTGAGAAAAATACCATGTTTGTATTCTGGACCTGAAATATCGAATAGAGATTGTATAATTGCATATATGAGAAGTCTAGTAGTAAAATGGGTTGCAATTTAATAGAAAATTATTCTAATAGCACTTTTAATCCTTTCTATCATTTATAAATGTATCTTTTCATGTATTATGCTTCTATTTACATGATTTCTTTCTTTCTCAAATAAACTAATATATGTCATTCTTTAATTTCTGTTCGATGTTTAACCTTAAGACAGACAATTTTACAACAGTTAATAGCAAAAAAATTTAACTTACTCAATAATTTAAAATATCCTAATTAGATAAATGAAATGCAGTTATCTGAAATCCATATAATTTTCATCATATCTTTGTTATTTTTGCACATTGAATAAAAAGATATATTGAATTTTGAGAAAGGTACATAATTAATCTAGATAAAAATATGAAATATCTAAGAATTTTATCGATGAAAACGGATGGTAACCTCATTAACATTTTCAATTACACTATCGATAAAATTAACAATGTTTCTAAAACATCAGTAGTAGAGTAATAATCATAAGTAGATATGTGTGGAAACAAATTTTTTTCGACATGATCTCGATAATCTAGCGATTTTGTTGAATTCGATGGAGTTCGACTTGCATCAACTTCCTTTCAATCCCTTTGATGTAGAAGAAAAAATCTATTCGAAAACTTATTTTAATTATGTGTAGTATCACCTTCAGGAAGGAGTTACTTTTTGAAATAAAAGAAAATTTTTCGAATATTGCGTAGAGCGTATACTTATGGCACAAGCAAAAAAAAAAAGAAATAGGAGAATGCGAGAGTAACGTTGACACGTGTTTATCGTTCTCTAAAAGATAAGAAAACTATCACAAGAGACGCTTATCAGTGAATTATGAGTTGATGCAGGACTATCAAGAGTGTAGGGTGTGGGTGTGGGTGTATGGATGTGAGTGGATGGTGTGTGGGTGTGTATTAATGTGGGTGTGGATGTGCATGTGTGTGAGTGTGGGTGGGTGTGGGTGTGGGTGTAGATGTGTATGCGGATGTGGGTGGATGTGTGGGTGTGGCTCTGGCTGTGTGGCTGTGGCTGTGGGTGTGGGTGTGAGCGTGCTATGCTGTGGCCTAGGTGTAGGAATGGGTGAGTGCAGCGTAAGGAAAAGTTACTTCTATACACAAACACGCACCCATACCTCACTTCCTGTGTGGGTAAGTGTGGGTGTGAGGGTGAGTAGCAGTGTGGATGTGCGCATAATCAGCGGAAAAACTCACGCTCACATCCGCATCGCTCGGTTGGATTCCCGAAAAAAATTTTTTCAATTTTATACATTTTTCAAATGGTTGAGAACCGATAGTGTACTTAATACACTATCCGGCACGAACAGCATCATTTTTGGTGTAAGTCTGCCGACGAACTATCTCTTTAAAACACGAAATCACTACTCGTTGTTTTAGCTTTGTCTCTACATACAAATATCTGTTGAAGACTTATTAATGATGGGAAGAGATTCGGACGAAACGTGATTGACATATTATTATGGATTTCGTTGTGTCTTGTCGTCGTTTTTATCTATTAATCTACATTCTGTGAAATATGACACAAATAAATTGACAAGTTATTTTTCTATCCTCTCTTCCTTGCCATTGTTATTCTTCTACTATATAAGGCCTCCCTAGACTGATAGTTTACGATAATGACACCCTTACTTTCTATTGTTTTCTCTTTCTTGTTGCTGTTTTATTTTTATCATTCTATTTACGAGTGCTTAATTTTTTCTTATCAGCCATCATCAACCTCACTTTATAAGGGCAATGCAAGTCAATATAATAAAAAGATACACACGAAAGTTGGAAAGAATAACCATAAAATAAGTGAAATTGTTGCACTTATCTCTTTTTTTTCAACTGAAGCTAAGGAGAATTTATCATCGAGTATCAACAAGGGTGTGGATGTGGGGGTGGGTGCGGGTGTGAGTGTGGGTGTGGGTGTGGGTGCGGGTGTGAGTGTGGGTGTGGGTGTGGGTGTGTGTGGGTGTGTGTGGGTGAGTGTGGGTGTAGATATTTTCTAAAGCAACACCCACCCACACCCACACCCACACCCACACCCACACCCACACCCACACCCACACCCACACCCATACCCACACACCCACACCCCCACCCCCACCCCCACCCCCACACACCCACACCCCAATACCCACACCCACACCCACACCCACACCCTGATAGTTTTGATCAGAGATAAAACCGGTACGGTTCCAACTCTAAGTGACCTAAGGTATATTAGAAGATGAACAAATGCAACTAAAAGTATCGGAAATTCAGAATGAATTGCGTCGCACACTAAAATAAAATGTGTCGTATTTATATGTCATGCACGAATGTGTCGCACTTTTGATGTGTCATAGGTTATATGTCAACTGTTCATTCACCGTTCTTTTTCGCTCGTGAAGATACATATAATCGAGCCGATTCGATATACTAAATTTATATACTTTCCTACATCTTTTTTTCAGATACTTCTGGACCATTTATAATTCGAAAATATTTCGAGAGGTCACCAGCTGTTCAAGAATGGACTACCTCGAAGCGATTCTATCGAGATTTGAGGATCTCTGGATGGTCAGATCTAATGATCTGATCGTCTTCAGGTACAAAATTAGGTACCACTAATTCGAGTTAAACTAAAAAATACTAATAATTCGATTTTCGAAAAAAGAAAAATATCCACGTGCTGACAAATGCGTCAGATGTGTCGCAAAAAAAATGTGTCGTGCGTCCGCTGGACAAAGTGTGTCGCAACGAGCACCTCGTGTCGTACTTAGATGTGTCGTAAATTGTGTCGCAAACTACGACACATGCGACACATTTTATCTTAGTGTGCGTATATAATCATGAATGAAGTTTCAAAATATATTGACATAACTTTCTTTTTCTTCAGGCTCGATATGAATAACTTCACTTATTTTACTTGGAAAAAACCAACACGCATGTTCCTTTCTTTCTGCTTTTTTTAAATAATGTACTCCTACTACCAAATTTCTTTCATTGCCAACAGAAAAATATGTATGACAGAATAAAAGAGAACGAGTATAATTTTTATTAGTTACATATACGGCTACGTAAAACAAGTAAAAACTTCTTCTACAATAAGGTATGGGAGCAGCTCAAGCATCGAAAGCATCCAATGTTATAAACAGATCTATCGTTTGGCTTGATGCCTCTGTTAATGATACACAGGAAAATATCAACGCTCAACAATTACTTCGTACACCAATGAATCATTTAAAAACATATAAAGATGATCATGAATGTGAAAAGTATATTCAATCTGTGCCAAAAGGACATCGAATCATCCTCATCGTCGGTGGTCGTCTCGGTCAGTTAATTGTGCCTCGTATCCATCAACTTTTTCAAATTTCATCAATCTTTGTTTATTGTATGGATAAAAGAAATCAAGAATGGACAAACGCATATAAGAAAGTAAGCAAAACTTTGAGTATTCATGTTAAGAAACCTTTTTCCAGGTCAAAGGCGTCATCGAAGAATTAAATGAACTGATTCTTCAAGTTCTAGCAGCTCAAGAAAAACAAACAAGCCATGATAGATTTGAACAACCACTTTCAATCAATATTTTCAATACAGTTAATGCCGGTCGGGAAAAATCGACGAGTGAACTCAATGGACAATTTGTTCATTCGCAAATACTAATCGATTGTTTACTTCGAATGAGATCTTCTTCGACAGATAGACATGATTTTCTTACTTATTGTAAAAAAGAATATGCAAATGATAATTCACAATTAAATTTTATTCGTGAGTTTGAACATGATTATGCAGCTAGTTCTGCTCTGACATGGTATACAAGAGATTGTTTTCTCTATAAGTTATTAAACAAAGCTCTTCGTACGCAAAATATTGATTTACTCTATTTATATGGTTTTTTTATTCGTGATCTTTATCAACAACTCAAGCGAAATCAATATCCAGCGCCTATTCATCTTTATCGTGGTCAGTTAATGTCAAAAAAGGAAGTGCAACAGCTGAGAAATTTTATAGGACAACTGATCTCAATGAATTCGTTCCTTTCAACGACTACTGATCGTGAGGTTGCGATAATATTTTCTGGTAATGATGGAGTATTGAATAATGATATCCAACCAGTATTATTTGAGATACAAGCTGATCCAGATATTGGCGGTATTAAACCATTTGCTGATATAACTTCATTTAGTTACATGGAAGATGAAGAAGAAGTATTAATGATGTTAGGTGCCATCTTTCGAATTGTTCATATTCGTGATGAAAGTCAGTTGTGTATTATTCAATTAGTATTATGTAGTGAAAATGGTCATGATGTCAAACCAATCTTCGATCAAATGAAGAACGATTATCATGGTGATGGAAATACAAATGCTGGTGTATTCGGTATTGTACTATCGAACATGGGAAAATTCGATGAAGCAGAAAAATACCTTCTTCGTTCGCTTGATGAATCACCTCCTGAACATCACACGGAAGACACTAATGGTATAATAAGAACAAGATGGTTTTCGTTGCTTATAGAAACTATTTAACTTTTCTTTTCAGCATACAATCTTAGTGTTTATTATGTGAATCTCGGTAATGTGGCTAGTAAAAAGGGTGATTATAACCAAAGTCTGAATTTGCTTCAAAAAGCACTTAAAACCAGGTTACAACTAAGACGATCGACTGATCCTAGTATTGCAGACATTCATAATCTAATTGGAGGTGTATACTGTCACAAGAATGAATACCAGCGAGCAATTGAGTCATTTAATGAAGCATTGAAAATATATCGACAAGCATACGATGAAGATGATGCAAAATTAGCCGAAGTTTTCAGTAATATTGGAGCTGTCTACTTTAAACAAGAGAAATATTTGGAAGCTCTTGATTATCAACAAAAAGTATTAAATATTCAAAAAAAAAGTCTTCATGAGAACCATCACCTACTAGGTGGATCATATAGTAATCTTGCAAGTACTTATCTGTATCTTCGCAACACTGATCTTGCCTTAGAACATTTCCATAAGGCACTCAAAATTTATGAAAAATGTCTTCCTTCTCAACATCCTAATTTCGCAAATATATACAATAATATGGGTGGTCTTTATGTAGAGAAACGTGATCTTCAACAAGCACTATTTTGTTTTGAAAAGGCTGCGGTCGTTCTACGTCAAACAGTAGGACCTAACCATCCTGATGCTATCAGTGTGCAGAAGAATATTCAATACATCCGAAGCTACACTGATAAACGCAAATAATCCATGTTTTTTTTCTCGAAGCTTTGCATTCTTTCGACTGTCTCACGTTTTAGCAAACATAGGGAGATGAAAGAACGAAAAGAAAAGTCGTGCAACCTTTTGCTTTTATTGTATCCTTAATCTACTCATAGGTGAAATCACTGTCCACAAAAAGCGATTTGCGGGTGTGGGTGTGGGTGTGGGTGTGGGTGTGGGTGTGGGTGTGAG